GGAAAGCTATGATTACTTTTAGGAAAATGGCCATATGCAAGTAAGCTGTGTTCTTCACGTTAAGGAAAAATAACACATGGACCAGAATTCTATTAATGATTATAATGTAGGGAACATAATCATTTTTTTAGAAGTTTTTATAATATTCTTGAACTTACAGAAATCTGCTATAAGGAAGCGATCAGATATAGATGAAAGATTTATGCAGAGTGGTATTCATAGCAGCTTCATTTATAATAGTGAAAAATCAGAAACCACCTAATTTTTCAACTGACAGTTAAGCACAATTCATATAGTAGAATATCAAAGTTAGGCTTTCAAAGACTATTTAATTTCACATTGGAAAATATCCACGTATAAAATTAAAAGAAAATGACAGAAAGAAAACATAGTATTATCCTATTATTGTAATAATATATAGAAATGTAAATAAATGGAAACAGAGAAAAAGGGAGGAAAAACAGTCTAAAATGCTAATGTTCCTGGGTAGTACATTACTTCTATATAACTTTTTTTAATGTTTACCGTGAGCACTATTACATACGTGGTTAAAACCCGCTCAGGAACACTTAGGAGCCTTTGCTTTTAGAACCTAGGGAAAGCAGCCCAAGCCGGCCCAGGCCCGGCTGCTGGCTTTGCGTGGTGCAGTTTGAATGGTTTAGGAAACAGCTGGCCGGGCGCGCGCGGAGGGAGGGACGCCACTGTTCAGAAGAGCCGCCCCACGTGCTTTCGGGGAAACTGCCCGGGAGCGAGAAGGAGAAGGATTGAGAGGAAACCGAAAAGCGAAAGTCAGAGCCGGAGGGCAGTACGCAGGCGCAGCGGGGTTTTCCGGCAGCCAGCCCCACTTCCTCACAGTGGTTTCCCCCCAGGCGGCGGGCCCCTTGTCAGCACGCTCCCCTGGGGCTGCATATTGGCTTGCGGGACGCGGTCCCACTCGCGAGTGTTAGCCCCGCACACGACGGAAGTTGGAGGCGCGGGTGGCTGCCAATTCACCTTAGAGAGAGGGAGGAGAACGTCTGCTGATCTCCGCACCTAGGGTGCTGGAAACCTTACTCATCCACTTCCAACGTTTATTTCTTTCCTTGTCCTGAATGGGTGTTTTTACCCGCTTCACTTCGCTGTCTACACAGTTTGCACTCGCACTAACTCAGATCTTTTCCTGTCTGGTAAGCTCTGACACTCAGCCAGCCTGTGTGGCTGCCCTTGAACCAGAGGTGGTGGGCTGGCAGTTTCTGTAGGCATCCTTAGGCTCGGTCTGCGTGGGGCTTGCCTCTTTCTTCTGGGGTCTTCTCGCCCCCGTGCCTTCTCAGTTATGGTGATTATACCAGAAGGAAAGTGGGAGAAGTATAATGGAGAATGCTTAGTTACTGGACAATGATTTCGAAAGTTCGACTGGCCCAGGAAACATACTTTTGTGTAATGTCTGTGACTTACCTAATGCTTCTATGAGGCACGAGACTGGATTTCTTTGGGCTCTGTTCGCCTACTCTTAAGGGGCTCTGCCTTCTTAGGGTGAACCCGGCACCCACTTAGAACCTCCAGTGTGTGAAAGGGACGACCGCATTGGCTCCCAACTTCCAGCCTCTTGTGAGGGAGGACCACCCCTTGGCTGCACACAAACGACCCTAAAGTCCAGAGTTCTGCTATGCAAATAGACGTTTGTTTTCCCCTGTTAGAACACAGGACCAGCTAGATAATTTGCAGGGCCAGTTGCAAAATGAAAATGTGGGATCCTTTATTCAAAACTAATTAAGAATTTCAAGAAAGCGACAGGAGAGCATGAAGCCAAGCATGGAGCCCTTCTTAGTGGCCTGCCCTGTGCAAGCCAGACCTAGGTGGGGAATTGGGGGGCATTTCTTCTATAGGAACCTGGTTTGATGATCACTTCAATGACGAAACAAATTTTATAACACCACTCACCTGTGTAAAAGCCTCTGCTGGCTCCCTGTTGCATTTGCAATAAAAGCCACAGCCCTTAGCGTTCCCTATAGGGCCTGACAATTTGGTCTCCCCTACCTACCCCTCTCACTCATCTTATTTCACTCTCCCCATATTTCACTAGGCTCCCCTTCATTCCTTTGGCCTCTTTCTGTTCCTCAGATACCCCAGGTTTTTACCTGCCTGAGTCCTGTGCATACATACACTGCTCTTTTGGGATGCTCTTTTCCTGGCTGTGTTCATGGACTGCCTCCTTCCCATTCTCTAGGTCTCTGCTCAGTCATCATCTCCTAAAAGATACCCTCATTGATTCCTTTCTCCAGTGACTGCGTCACATTTGCAATCCTCTTAACACTTGTAAAATCTGTCCCTGTTTATTGTTTGTCTATTTTCATCTCTCCTTGCCAATGTATAAGTTCACAACAGAAAGGACTTTGTTCTGTGTTATAGCCTTTTCCATCCAGGATTCCATGAAACAATTCAGCCTAATTTTCCAGGGCATCTATGTGTGTAATGAATTCCCTGGTCTCCTGTATATCTAAAATGGCACTGTATACAATCCCTGGGAGAACTGAGAAAATCGTCAAGCAAATCGCTTTCTGTGTCTTGTGGTTCAGAAACCCTGGTTAAGCAAGACAAGGCCTGATATACACATTTTTAAATATTTCAAAAATATTTTTTGAACGAATGATTAGAACATCATTGATTAGCAATAGAATCAGGAATCACAGGTTAATTCAGACATTCAGATCTCAGCACTGGCTCTAAGACCTATCAAGCCACAATTGAGCAGGGGAGAGAATAATGAGCAGGCATAGTCCAGAAAAACTTCCCTAAAGGATTTTTAATGAGAACTCTACTACTCTACACCCCTTCCAACCTCTCCTCTCTCTCTGCCCTCTCTGGATGGCAGAGTTCTTTCCGTCTGCAGCAGTCTGTGAGACATCTAAGAGGATGACTGTCAAGCCTAACCTAATAGTGTTGTGGAGGACTTTTACTGGGGGCAGAAATAGTAATGGCTTTGAGTTTAATGGACAGTTTAGGGGAGATTTCAGGAACACTTGGTTCATCTGTGAGTAGGTAGATGTCTAGGATGTTAGGCATGCCTGAGATAATACCTAAATCAAAGGGAAGTTAGAGTGAGCTGATAAACAGTGTAATTCTAGACAATGTCTGTTGGAGGTTAAGGGTGAGATAGAGAGGAAGTCCCCTCTGTGTGATCAAAGGCAAGTGTGGTTTGGTTAATCAGGATGAAGCATAACACTGAGGACTGTTTCATGATTTTAGATTTTGGAGTTGAAGAGAATTCTAGCTTAGTTCTGCAGGCAGCCCAAAGAGCAAAGGAAAGGAAGGAATGAATCACCATCCTCAAATGTGTTCAAACACCAAATCATTAATAAATAATTATTCAGGGCCAGATTGTACTAGATTCCAGGAATATAACTGTGAGCAGGGCTGTCTTGGTCTCAAGCCTAACAGAGCTTGCTTGGAGTCTGTTGAGGAAAATAGATGATATCATTTACACCAAAGGTGTACTGTGCTGGGGATCTAGAGGATGCTATGGAGGAGGCATGGCATGACCTGAGGCATACACATACGTGTGTGTGCGTTTGTGTGTGTGTGTGTGTGTGTACGTGTGTCTGGCAGAAAGGCTTTCCAGAGCCTGAAGAATGCATGAACATTATCCAGGTGCAGGGGTAGATGGGATGGGGTTGGAGAATTGAGAGGATGTGGCAGGTGAAGTGGAGAGAACATTATCATAGAAACTGAAAGTAGTTCAGTCAGTCTTGTGTGCAGATGTTGGGTGGATAAGAAGCTGTTGGGGAGGAGTGATGGGAGATGCGCTGAAGACTCAGAGAAGACTAAGTAATACATGACTTTGGAAAGATCTGTTGAGAATTATGGTCTTTATCCAAGCCTGGGATTTTTTTTTTTTTTTTTTTGAGACAGAGTTTCGCTCTTGTTACCCAGGCTGGAGTGCAATGGAGCGATCTCGGCTCACCGCAACCCCCGCCTCCCGGGTTCAGGCAATTCTCCTGCCCCAGCCTCCTACCTGGGATTCTTAACCTAGTTTTTGTGCCATGGACCCATTTAACAGTCCAATGAAACCCACACGTTTTTCAAAAAATAATGTTTTTAGTTGAATAGATAAGATGCATAAGATTCGAAAGAAAACCAATTATATTGAGATGCTGGTATCAAGCCAACTTTGTGATATATTAAAACCAACTTTGTGATATAATAATGTAAATTATTTTTTTTTCTCTTTTTTTGAGAAGGGTCTCACTCTGTCACCCAGGCTGGAATGAAGTGGCAGCACGGTTCACTGTAGCCTCGACCTCCTGGGTGGACTTCCCATTTAGCCTCCAGAGTAGCAGGGACCATAGGCACATACCACCACACCTGGCTAATTTTAAAAAAGAAAGTATTTTGAGTAGAGATGGAGTCTCACTGTGTTGCCCAGATTGGTCTTGAACTCTGAGGCTCAAGTGATCCTCTCACCTCAGCCTCCTACAATGTTGGAATTACGGGCGTGAGCCACTTCACCTGGCCAAATGTTTATTTACTAATGACATTAAATAATAGGATCTAGCAGTGGGTTCAATTAATGCAATTTCAAAATTGTGCTTAGCATAAACAATATTTTGAGATAACTTTAATAATTGTGCTATAAATGTGGTATGGTTTATGGTTTGCTGCCCTTATAACTGAATGAAATTAACTGTAGTTAGAAGTTAGTGGAAATAAAACCGTAACTTTGCCATCTAAATTCATGAGCCCCTTGAATTCTGTCCACACACCGCAGACAAGAACTGCTAATGCAGAGCATCGTGAATCATTCAAAAATTTAAGTAGGGAGTGAAATTATCCAATTTTAGTAGAGCCCTCTGTGTACACATGAAGCTACATAAAATTTTTTCTTGTCTTTACTATAAGGAAACAGAGAATGTCCTTCCCCATGTTTTTATGGCATCCCCTTTGTGAGTACTCTGGTAGAAATCTTCTGTCTTTATAGTGGTGGTTACACAACGATATGAGTTTGTCAGAATTCATAGGCTGACACACACAAAATGGTGAATTTTACTGTATGTAAATTATATGTCAATTAGCCAGACTTTCAAAAGTACATCAACAAAATCAATAAATGTTCCTAGTCAATTTGGAAAAAAGCTTTCTTTACTCTGTCAGATATTGGAGCATGTGCACACAGAGGCCAAATGGTATGTGTGGCCTCTCTGTCTACTGCTAGAGCAGAGTATTCGGATGGCTTGACCTTTAATCCTTTTTCTTTTACTGTGGGGAGTTGCATGGGCTTCCTGAACTGTGGAGTTAAAGAAAAATCCTTTGAATTTGCCAGAGGTATATTTGTTTTTTATGATGCTTTGGTGGGGTAGGGTTCTTGCTACCTTAGTTTTTGATGAAATTCATTGGCCTTCTTGCAGCATTTATTACAGATGAAGGCATTCATAGTACAAGTGCTTAAAGTGATTTTTTAAATTTGAAAAGTCATTAACAAAATGTATATCTGTGATTGATCTGAGATGGGTGAAAGGAGAAGTGAAACTAAATCTATGTTTTGTTTCAATTTCATTAAATACTGCTTATTTGCCACTAGTTTGTTACCGACTGAATGTTTGTGTTCCCCTCTGAAAATTTGTATGTTGAATTGCTAGTCCCCAGAGTGATGGTAGTAGGAGGTGGAGCTTTGGGGAGGTGATTAGATCATGAGGCTGAGCCCTCAAGAATGGGATTAGTGCCCTTCTAAAAGAGACTTCGGAGAGCTCTCTAGCTGTCTTTCCATCCTGTAATACAATGAGAAATTGACAGTCTGCAACCTGGAAGAGGGCTCTCAGCAGAACTAGACCAGACTGACACCCTGATTTTAAACTCCCAGCCCCAAGAACTGTGAGAAATAATCTGTTGTTTTTTTTTTTTTCTATAAGCCACCCAGCCTGTGGTACTTTGTTATAGCAGCCCGAATTGACTAAGTCACAGTAGGCAGAAAAAAATATCCTGGGGTAGAATTTGGTCAAAACATGGTCCAAATTCCCTTCCCATTGCATCTCCTGCTCATGTAGCACACCTTATCTTTAACTAAACAGATCTCCCCAGGACTCCCCTGACAAAACCTCATTGCCCTCTGCTATGGTTTGGATGTTTGTCTCCCCAAAGCTCAGGTTGAAATTTGATTCCAATGTTGGAGGTGGGACCTAATGTGAGGTGTTTGGGTCATGGAGGCAGATCTCATGAATAGATTAGCACCCTCTGGGTGTGGGAAAGGTAAGTGCTTTCTGACTCTGTTAGTTTCTGACAGTGCTAGTTGCTAAAGAAAGGCAGGTGCCTTCCCCACTCCCTCTTGCTTCCTCTCTCACCATGTGATCTCTGCATATGCCAGGTTCCCTTCCCCTTCCTCCATAACTTGAAGCAGCCTAAGGCCTTCATCAGATGCGGGCACCAGTGTCATGCTTCTTGTAGTCTGCAGAACCATGAGCAAAATAAAGCTCTATTGTTTATAAATTACCAAGCCTCGGATATTCCTTTTGAGCAACACAGCACAGACTAAGACAGAAAATTGGCACTGAGGACAGGAGGTTGCGATAAAGATACTTGTGAATGTGAAAGTGGCTTGAAACTGAGTAACAGGCAGAGGTTTGGAAGAGCTTGGAGGACTCAGAAGAAGTTTGGAACTTCTTAGAGATTGACTGAGTGGTTGTGACCAAAATGCTGATAGAAATCTAAAGGTCATGTTGACGAAATCTCAGATGGAAATGAGGAACTTACTGGAAACTGGAGCAAATATCACCTTGTTAAACGGTAATAAAGAATTTGGCTGCATTGTATTCAGGCCCTATGACTTTATAGAAGGCTAAACTTAAGAATAATGACCTAGGGTATCTGGCAGAAGAAATTTCAGTAGCAGAGTACTCAAGAAGTGGTGTGGCTACTTTTAAAAGCCTATGCTAAATTATGGGAGCTAAGGAATGACTGAAAAGTGTAATTTGTAATTAAAAGGGAAGCAAAATATACAAATTTGGAAATTTCATGGACTAGCCATGTGATAGAGAAGGAAAGAACATTTTTAGGCAAGGAATCCAAGGGTGTGAGGAATCTGAGGGTGCTACAGAGCAACCATTGCTAAGGAGATTATTGTGACTAAACCAGAGCCAGGTGTTACTAGTTAAGAAAATTAGAAAAAGGCCTTGAAGGCATTTCAGAATGCCTTTTTCTCAAATGCCTTTGAGGCTGACCCTCCCATCACAGGCCCAGAATCCTAGGATGACAGAATGGTTTGGGGGGAGGACAGGCCTGGAGACTGCTGCCCTGTGACCAGTCTGCTGCTCCCCATATCTCCACCACTCCAGATCGCACAGCCATGGCTCACATGACCTCAATGGCCCCAGGTAGGACTCATGTCGAAGCTCTGGAGGGCATAAGCCATAAGTCTTGCTGGTGTCTAAACGGTATTAAGTCTGCAGGTGCCCAGAATACAAAAGTCATGGAGGCTTGGCAGCTTCCACCTGGATTTCAGAGGATGTATAGGAAATCCTGGATGCTCAGGCAGAAGTCTGCTGCAGGGGCAGAGCCACAGCGAGAGTCTCCCTGGGGCAATGCCTAGTGGAGCCATGGGATTAGGGCTGATGCTACAAGGACCCAAGAAGTATAGTCATCAGCAGTGTGCAACCTCAGCCTGGAAAAGCTATAGACATTCAACTCGAGCCTGTGAGAGCAGCCAGTGGCCTTGGGAGTAGGGCTCCTTGAGATCGTGGGAGCCCACTCCTCATACCAGTGTACCCAGGATGCAGGACGTGGAGTCAAGCATTATTTTGGAGCTTTAAGATTTAATATCTGTCCTCCTGGGTTTTGGACTTGCATGGGTACTGTTGCTCCTTTTTTATGGATTTCTTCCTTTTGGGATGGGACTGTTTATCCAATACATGTACCAACATTACATCTTGGAAAGAAACAACTTGTTTTTGATTTTAGAGTTTCATACTTGGAAGGAATTTGCCTTGAGTCTCAGATGGGTCTTTGGGTTTTCAAGCTGATGCTGGAACAAGTTAAGAGTTTTGGAACTATTGAGAAGGGATGATTATATTTTGCAACATGAGGAAGACATGAGTTTTGGGGGGCCAGAGGAGGAATGCTATAGTTTGGATGTTTGTCTCCCCAAATCACATGTTGAAATTTGATTCCAGTGTTAGGTGAGACCTAATGGCAGGTGTTTGTGTCATGGGAGTGGATGCATGAATAGATTAATACCCTCCCATGGTGGGGGACACGAATGAATTCTTACTCTGTTGGTTCTTGTAAGAGCTGGTTTTTATAAAGAGCCTGGCACCTCCGCACTCTGTCTCTTGCTTCCTCCCTTGCCGTGTGATCTCTACATACACCAACTTCCCTTTGCCTTCTGCAGTGAGTAGAAGCAGCCTAAGGGCCTCACATGCAGATGCAGGTTCCATGCTTCTTGTATACTCTGCAAAACCAAATAAACCTCTTTATGAATTATCCAGCTTCAGGTATTCCTTTATAGCAACACAAAATGAAATAAGACACCCCCACAGAAATGATTTTTAGAGCACAAGAATCACACTCTTGGGAAATAACTCTTAACTCTGGGGTCAATAATTTTGGGGTCAATAACTCTGGGATCAATTAATTAACCCCAATTAGCTGGGGTCAGTAATTATGGGGTCAATAACTCTGGGATCAATTAATTTTGGTTCTCTGAATCTAAATAAAAATAGCCACTCATTGAGCTTTTATAACATGGCCATTGTCCATATTGTAGAAAGTGAACTACAGATGTCCTTTATTTTCTACCCCCAAATAACAATGATGACTATGATCACATAGAAAACCTTGACATTCTGCTACCAGGCTCTATATTGACAAGCTTTTTTAAACTTCTGTGAAATAGGTAGGAGTCCATTGTACTTTTGATAAATTCCAAGGAGCAAAGAGCTTCTGCAATCTTTTTTTGTCTAAATCCAATTGTTTAAGAGTACTTCCTGGTAGGAAATTACTTCTTTAAAGATAAAACTGTAATAGTCATGCTCCGGTTTACATTATTTCATCCAATTCTGCTGCCAGTTGATACATACATATATATATATATATATATATATATATATATATACACATACACACACACACACACACGTCAGGCAAATTTTAGAAAACTGGGTTTTGTGGAGAGAAGTAGAGACTGGGAGGATGCACCTCCAGTAAGATGAACCCTTCCATCAAACAGATGCCTTCACCCTAAAAGCATTTGGGAGCTCACAAAGGAGTAAAGGAACTGGCCTTGGAGGAGGTGGAGAGTTTGTTCCATAGGAACAATCTAGGAGCCAGTTGGGCACATGTGGGTGGGATGAGGTTGCTTAGATGGAATCTCTCTAAGTGAAAGGGCAGGTTATACTAAAAACTTTTTCCCTTGAACTCTTTTCCATCAAACATTAGCCTCTGCCTGTTTGGTTTGTCTGGAGGACTGGAGGTGGGCAGAAGGAATTAAATAAGAGCCCTTCAGAGGGGGCTGCCTTCTCTGACTCTGCAGTCAGGGCTCACCTTGGAAACCTGGTTCTGGATTTTTCTGCATCTGGTCGCAGCAGATGCCTCAGTAGATGACTTCCTCAGCTGGTGCAGCAACATCCCCAGGGCTCAGCAGGCATAGAGAGCTCTCCAGTTCTTGAGCATTGGAGGGCTCCTTGCTGTTACTAAGGACAGCAGCTGGGCAGTTGCACCACTAAACATCCAGTTGGGGTGAGGCAAGGACCAAAATAGACTTGCCATTCACATACATTACTATCCAGGAAACCACCTACCCTTCCTGTTTACTAGAGAAAATTGAAGGAATGGAACTTGTCATTCTAAACCTCTTTCCCTAGTCTTAGGTTGCATTCATGGGACCAGAGAGACTATTAGAGCTGGGAAGGATCATAGAACTCACATAGTCTAACCTCTTCTACAGATGAAGAATGAACAATCTATGAATAAAATCAGTCACCCGCGGCCAGAGCTGTTATTCTCCTAGTCCTCATTTCATGAGTTGTTGTTTTAACCCATGTGTCTGCTTATAATACCTGTAAAATCAGTGCAGTTTGCCCAAGATACCGCCAAGAATGACTCTGGATCCCTCCTCCTGTGGTACCAGCAGCTGTTGAACCCCATAGTTGGGATAATGTTGACATGGCACTCAGGAGGCTTCATAATTCAGCCCTCGATGTCCTGTGAATTTCTGCTAATGTTCCATCATGATTTTCATCTTGGATCTACTGTGATCACCCTGCCTGGTAGCACTCATCACACTGATTGGCTTATTTGGCTTTTCTCTCAGGCCTTCCTGCTGAGGTGTAGGTGTGACTTTGTTATTCTTGACCCACCCTGAAACATTAATATTTACATCTTCTAGCGAAATTCATAAGGAACACCAGAGAGACAAATCAGAAATAAACCAAACACAGGCAAGCAAGTCTTCTGTTAATATTGTTATTAACACTGGTTTCTTAAAGTTGTCTTATCTTGCAAGTTTATCTGAAACTTTGGTTTCTAGCATTTCAGTCACAACACTCCCAACTGGGGGGGTGCCATGACAGTGAGAAGAGAGCTTCAGATGTCAAACATTTCCTAGAACCCGGTATTTACAAAGCTGAAGAAATAAAATGTGGTTGTTGAGCAAAGAACAGTCTTTAAACTTTTTCATTTGCTTCCTTTCTTGGTTTTTCAGTTTATTCTGTCATTCAGCAGAATAAGGAGATTTCATCTAAAATTAAAAATGAAAATAATCTTTGAGGAAACTACTGATTTGCAAATAAATCACTATTTCTTGTGTAAATAAACCTCCTCTTTTCTACTAATTACTCTATAATTTTTCTATTACTTAGTTAAAATACTTTAAGTATTTGCAAAAGTAATTGGGGTTGATCAATCTAAAATAAAAGGTACCTTTCAAGTAGACAGAAAACTGTTTTAACAAAAAGGCCTGTTCGTCTACCAAAAACATAATGAAATGGGTGCAAAATGTAGTAAAAGTTCAGTTAGACATAAATAACTTGATGATTTAAGGGAACTGACATAGAATAAGCTATCAAAGGAAAGTGAATTTTTCATCTATGGAAATCTTGAAGAGAAGGTCTAAAAACCAACTAGATATAATTTTTTGAGGTTTAAAGTCCCTCCAAGTTTCTATTATTATGATGTATGTTCACTTTCATGTAAATTGGGGGTTTGAACCCATTGACCGTATTGGCGGATACGAGTAAATAGGATGCATCCTAACTAACATTATTGCATTAAAGATTATGACTCAATTCTCAAAAAGGAGAACATTATTATGCTATTGACTGTTATTCACATATTACTTGACAAGGCTCCAGGTTCTTGAAATGCAAGTCATAATCAAGAAAAATTGCAATTTGTGATGCTTGCCCTGTTAAGATAGCAAACTAGGTTTACTAGATATTAAGTAACTAGTAAACTAGATAGTATACTAGGTTTATAAATCATGACCAATAAATGTTGTTTGCTAAAGAAGAGTGGTGGGGAATGAGAGGGCCCATGGTGCAAGCAGGGATAGCGCTTGAGTAGGGTATAGGAATATTTTGCCCTCTGGTGGTTTCTGAGGGAAAGAACTTAAAGCAGTTTAAGTAAGTGAAGGTGTCTGCTTTCAACACTCATAACATCAGCAACACCATCCAGACATCTTTTGTGTTATGCTTATGAATTTGTTCCAAAACATGTGTTTTCTCCCTACCCAGGCAGAATTTCAGGCCCTTTGATTCACACACCACCTTTGCATCATTGGAAATGCCTTTGACCAGCAATGGAAAATAAAGGGAACATACTGCAGTTTCAATTGTTGTGGGACTCAGGTTTTCTCTCAGCACTGCATACACGCTTGGAGACATGGGAAGAAGGTCTGATGGAGAATGTGGCTCCGTTGAATCACTTCGGCTTAAAAAGATAACAAGGTCAATGTGGACAAGGATTAAAAAATAATCACTGCTCACGGTGACTTACTGTGTCAGGAACTCATTTCTAGGGCTTCATCTATTTGTGACACTGAGTTGTCTAATTCATTTCATATCAGAACATTCAACGTGCTATGGAATATATGGCATGTAAAAGGGGAATTTTATAATTCTAGTCACAATAGATTGCTAAGTGTGCCATGAAAGCTAGCTTTATGTATTAAAGGAAATGGGATACTGAACATTAAAATTCTTTGCTCTCAGTTATGTGTACTCTGCTTTATCTTTAAATCTCCTATAGGAAAGCATTTACTAAAAGAAATTTTACATGTGACTAAGATTACTCACATTGTTGAGATGGGGATAAAAACAGAAGGAACATAACCTTTGTCTCCTCTTTCTGTTGGTCTTGAAACTAGAAAAAAAAAAGGCACAATGTTGGGGGAAAAATGTCAATATTATCAATAAAAGTGGGGAAAAAGTGTCTAGAAAAATATTAGCAACGCTAAGAAGAAGAGAGATAATACAGTTGTTCAGTGATCCACAAAAATGTTTTGTTAAATAGGGGACACATCTTTTAGATAAGCATAAAATGTGCAAGAAGAGAAAAACAAATCTCTTAGCAGGCCTAATCTGACTTTACATATTAATGCCTCTAAACTGTGTGGGGAAAATTGAGAATCAACTATATTACCTATCTTCTGTTTCATTTACGTTTGATTATAAGGACTGATTGAGTCATGTTTTGGGAGATAAAACCCAGTTCTTTTCATTAAAATTGACAGCAATCAGAAGCTTATGATTACAAATGTTTTCGAAGTACAGACATCAGTCTTCCCGAAAGTATCTTTGTACTGCAGTAACCATCACGTGCAAGCCTCCCCTTGGAAAAATTCCCCAAACTTCTCAGGTATACCATGCTGAACTAGTATTTGTTCCAATTTCCCAATCCTAATTTGTTGCATTGATATTTGTTATTTCATTTGATTAGTTGTTGAAAGTCATTGAAGAGCCACTGGTTTTTTGCTTTTATTTTCTTTTGTATTTTTGTTTATTTCAGAGGGCATGAAGTCAGGTGGCTGCCAGTCTGTGAGTGGCAACTGTAGGATATTCTACATGATGGTGCCCAGAGATTTACTTGCTACAGATGAAGATTTTTATGGATTGTATACACTTTCATTAAAGAAACAGAATGGTGAATGTACCTTAAAATTACACAGCAATTTAATGAATTTTCTTTTATATATTAGAATAATATTTACTGAATGCCTGTTTTGGCCAGGCATTGTTCTAGGTCCTTAGGATACAACCAGGAAAGGTAGGCTGGAAGTGTGGGAGGAGGGAGAGGATGAAGCACAGATCCACAGATACCCTCCCTGGAAAATGAACAAATACCCTGAGGTGTAAGACCACAGTAAGGTTAAAAATATAAAACTTATAAACACTGGGGTTCCTTTGCAAAATACAGACTTGCTTTGCTATTAAAAGCTTCTCATCATTATCCCCTCTTTCTTTTCCTTTCCCTTAGTCATAGACATGAAGTCTGCATCACTTCTGTCTTATGAAGGAGAAAACTGAAACTCTCCAAGCGGCCGTGAGAGGCCCCCACAGCCATGGTGAAGTCTAGTTGCAGCTGCTTATTACTCTGCTAGTGTTAGACAGCCCAGCAGTCCCTTTTCAGGAGCTGCTGACATACCACTTCATTTCTAATGCTTTGACCTCTGTATGTCCCTTAGATCTCACAAAAATTAGAGTAAACAAAAAGAGGAACTTCATTTACTTTGCTCCAATATGAGGTTATTTTCCAAAATCTTAAGGAAAAAAAACAAAACAAAAGAACCTAACCTTCACCAAGCTGGGAGCTGTAGTGTTTGCCGAAAGCTTTGTCTTTGGGAATGTCAGGATATAGGTACTTCAGAGGGTTTTCAGGAATGTTTTCAGCCATGATAACTTTGTAGTCTCGCAGGATGTCAGCAAATGGCAGAGCAGACAATCGGCCTTTATTGTAGGGCTCTACAGAGTGGAATCTCACTTCCCCTTGAAAAACAGAAATTGGAGAAATATACAGGTTCCTGTACACATTCCTTGTGACCATTTTTTCCTGCCCACATTATCTTCATGTCACTGGAGTGACTTGTCAGTTCATATCACTTCAATGTCAGACCTTCTGCTGTCTGGACAGTATAGATTGTTCATACAATAGAGCTTTTGGAATTCATAGGTACCCTGTTCTGAGACAGCTGCAACAACGAATATTCAGACCCACTGAACACATGACAAACAGATCAACACACTATTCACTTACAAAAACTGAAAGACTGGTAACCAAATTTAAGAAAACTAATTTCACATGAATAAACATTATTAAGTATATACCATTTTCAGAATGGTCCACCCAGGTGAAAGTTATTCCTCCAAGATGGCTTTCACTGAATCTTAATAAAAAGGTACCAGGCATTTTATCCTTCAGCAAGAGCCGTTCTTTCTCTTTGCTAACAAAGCCCATGACATACCTAAAAATAGAACATGCATGATTTTATCTGATCATTATTGCATCTGATCACTTATTGCATTTACAAAGAGCAGACCTAAAGTTTGTTTTGAGTATAATCAAAAGTCATTCATATCTGAAGTACTTATATGTAGATTAATATACATAGTGATACTCCACGAAGAATAAGAAATTGCAACTATTTTTTTCTATGGTACTAAACATGGATAAGAGAAAAAGAAATAGAAGAAAACCAATGACAACAGAAAAAAAGAACATAATTAACTCACATGAAAAATATAGCCTATAACTCACCCATCAATCCAAAGGGGAAGAATGTGTTTCTTAATTAGATCCAATATTGCTTCAAGCCATGTCCAAAAGGTAAATGATTTACCAGGTAAATGTTCCTACAGGAATAAACAAGCACTTTAAGACAATGATTATTTAAGTAATAATGTTGATATTATAATGTAAGGTCAATTTTTCAATAAAATATTATCTTTAAACTGAACAACACCTTAGTTTCTTTTAAAAATATCCTTATGTGGGAAATTCTCAAAACTCCAGGTAGTAATATAGAGACTTAGAAAGGAACACTGTATTAAAAATATGTATCTAAATGATGTCCCCCCTCCCCTGTTTGTACCTTGCAGAACTTGGCCCAGGTGAGGTGACCATCAGTGTAGCCAGAATGGACTGAAATGAAAGAAAATAACGAGATTTTTCATTCAACAACGAGATGCTTCAATTTTGTGGTCAATTTAGATATTTTCCCTCTTCCCTTTCAAGCATTTCTTAAGCGCCTGATATGGGATTGCAAAGTACTGAGTGTTAGGTACAGTACAAATATAAGACATCATCCTTGCTCCTAAGAAATTTATTATCTAGAAAAGAAGATTTTTGGTGAAGAAACTATGGTTTAGAAAGCAGGTGGGTATCTAGGATATGGGTGGGTAGAATATAAATTGTCAGAGGAGAGGAAGGAGAGCAAGAATAATATAGGACAAGGCATGATGGTCATGGACATGGCTCATACAGGAGATAGGAAGAGCTGCCTAATGTTGGTGAATGAACATTATAAAACAAATTTGTGTAAGTTAGGTGTAGCTAGATTACCAGGAATGTTGCCTATTAGGTGGAAAAAATAGACTAGAAATCTATTAGACAATAAGTAGCCATTGGCTGTTTTGATCCAGAGCAGTGAAAGGATACGAGAGTTTCCATGTAAATTTTTAGGGAAATTATACTCCTAAGAATAATTTGATAAAGGTCTGAAAGGATGTGATTGCTATCTATACTACATGTTTAAAAGCTTTAGTCACTCTAACAAATATTTATTGAATGCCTACTATTGCTGCTTATGAATTAAATAAGGATCAAAACATGTATTTATATTAAGTAAATTTTGTAATATTTTCTGAAACCTTAATTTATTTAAGTACGTATTGATCCAGGAGTAGGCACAAGTGGCAACCATCCCAGCACCATGTGAGTCAAGCTTAAATCACACATGATTCTACTTCTGCTGCACAAATGGATCTTTGGCCGTATTTTAACTAGAAATGCATATAGATCTAATTTTAACTCTTTTTGATGCTAAATATGTTAAACCCTGACTTGTCAAAATACAGCTCTCTTAGGATTCTTTTAGAAAAAGTTTGATTATAGTTGGTACGTGTAGTACCAATGACTCTAGTTTGCAAACTTTAGAAATCTCAGTCAAAGCTGAAACCTTGGTATGCAGAATTAAGTATTGCCCAGGTGTTTTTAAATTTCTATTACATTTCCTGGACTTTGTGAAGGAATCATTTTCCAGCTGGTTAATGTCAATTGAGACGTTAATATGAACGATCAAGGCACTGTTAAGGCTTCACATCATATTTAGTGGAAACATAGCCTGGAGACTGGGGTGGGGAATAGACCTCCATATGCTGGAGACTGGGGTGAGGAATAGACAGGGAGGGACTTTGGATCTGGACAAGTCTGGTCTGTGGCTTGGTTCTGCTAGGTACTAGCCATGCATCCATGACAAGTCACTTAACTTCTGCACTCCAATACAATCATTTATAAAATTGATAGAATAAGGTTAGCCTTGAAGGACTTTTCTGAGAATCAAAGATAATGTAGCACTTAGCTCTGTGCCTGGCAATATAGTAGGCATTCCATAAATTATGATGATCATCATTATTATTAATAGTAGTAATAGCGTCCTGGTTATTTAAAATGCTTGAGTACCAAAAACTGAGGCAAATCCTCCCTATCTACCAGCTCTCACCTGTAAGCTTCTCTGCCAGCATATTGAGTTGATCTGAATTAAGGCCACGACCAACGTACGATGAAAACTGCCAGCTCATCACCTCCAATAGTTGACTCAATGTGGCAGGTGGAGGATTATTAAAGAAAACCAAGTTCTGAAATAGAGTCATGATGATGATTTGTTAATTATGTTACAGTGGGTAGCTAGTTAGGTATGAGCAGGGCAAGAAAGGTCTCCCCCTGTTCTGCACACACACACTAGGAGTGTTGGGTGACCCATTAGGTGATGGTCAGGCAATTGTTAAGTGTTTCTCAAAAGTCATAATTGGTCACAGCTGGTGCCAGGGAATGACGGTGTCCTAATAGAAAACACCTAAAACCAATCAGCAGCTTCTCAGTAAGATCTCAGAGTGGGGAGAAGTAACACAAGACCCTAAGAGGTCAAGCTCCACACTTCGTTTCTCAACTTGCCCACTTGGCCCTCTTCCAAGTTGTACTTTCCTTCTTTTCTTTCCTTTCCTTCCTTTTTCTTACTGCTCTAAAGCTTTTAACAAACTCTCACTCCTGCTTTGAAGCTTGCCTGGGTCACTCCTTCTGTCTTATACCCCTCAGTTGAATTCTTTCTTCTGAGAAGGCAAGAATTGAGGTTGCTGCAGATCCATACAGATTCAGTACAGCCAATAACAATCACGCCGACGACACTGTAAGTCAATATATTGGATTCCTAATTTAAACTCTTTAGGCCAACCTAAGTTAATATAAAGTATCATCTCATCTCTGTTGTTCTTAAGATCGATGTCTTTTCCTAAAAGTCTCCTTGTTCTTCATGTATGTATATGATCAGGCTCCATCTGTCTTGAGAAGAATCACTTGACATCTCTTTAACTTTTCCCTATTAGTCTACTGATACAAGTACTTAACACTGTCCAACAAGTAATTTGACAGGTACTCTTTTCTAGAACAATATTCATCTGAAACAAAACTTATATCATGTTATTTAATTGGTTTATCATGGGGTTGGCACAAGTTTTACCTTGACCAGACCAATCATCCCAAAGTGCTAGAAACAGTAAATTCCCAGGCTAGGGAAGGTGATCCTACAATATTAAGATTAACCTCAGATTCCTCTTTTATGGACAGCGTAGTAGTCTTTTCTTATTTGCTCTAGATAATTAAAAAAACAAAAACAGAGAAATGATCTTGCTATGTTGCCCAAGCTGGACTTGAACTCCTGGGCTCAAGAAATTCTCTTGCCTCAGCCTCTCAAGTAGCTGAAACTCTAGGTGTGCACCATGGTGCCCAGTTAAATAAGAAAATATTCTGTATGGTCAACTACAAACAAGATTGTGCCAGAAACTGGCCAACAACAGTGGAACATAAGACCTCTGTTCCAGATTACTGGAAAACAGATGTCTGAAAGTCAAGAAAAATGTTCTAAGAAGAGGGAAGGAAGAATTCAGAAATCCAATGCGTTGCCTGGAGAAGGCCATTGAGAACATGAGCTAAATTGGGCTTAGATTAATCAAGAAAAAGAAGCAATTTAAGAGATTTCAGAAGGTAGGAATAAAAGAGGACACAGCATCCAACAAAGAATGGGCAATAGGAAGAGGAGGAATAAAGAGAAAGAATTTCTAGGGAAATGGTTTTATGTGAACCTGAGAATGGTGCCTGGAAAAGTGACCAGAAAACACAGAATACAATCAAGGCCCAAGGACTTAGGTTTTGAAGCAGGACAGAATTAAGAGGAGAAACCAGGATTAGTTGTTCAGATTGGTTCTTCAACTAGGCTGTGAGTCTGTATTTTAACAGCTGTATATTATCTTTTGCTCTAGATTCTCATCCTAGAGCCATGTAAATCCGGGATAATGTGTGTGATGACTTTGGTACGTTTCTTACAAAAGGAGGTTGCTGAAGGAAGCTAAGTGCAGCACTGCTCTGTGAGGCCGGAGAACAGAGAAGTAGCCCATCACTCCTTCTACTCCCTGGAGTTGGAAGAAAGCTGAACAAATGTAGGTCTAATGGGTATCAACATTTAATCTCAGGGGCATTGGCTGTCCTTTGCCTTAAAGACCAGGTGATTTCTCTGGTAAGTTCTGCTCTTTTGGGGGTACTCTGCATGGTCTTCCTCTCTGCAGTTAATTTTTCTCAGATGCTGGGGCAGTTGAGGAGAAGGAGTAGGGCTGTGTCATTTTCCTCATTTTTTTCTTAATAGAAACATTGAATTAAGAAGAAAGAACACCTACAGCTGATTCAATCTTACTGCTCGGATCTAAAGTACAAGAATTATTCCCTTTGGAGGGAACATTTGCTTTGAATTAAGAAGAAATGTTGTTATTTACATTTGACCTATTTTCTCCAGACCTTAGCGGTTTCCAGGACAACACACTGAGGTTTTGAAGGAGGGGTGCAAGGGGAAGGGCTGACACATCTTTTTGCCACTCCCTTCCCTGGTTGTCTTATAAGAACATCTATTCACTGCTGGCTTTGTGACTTGAGGCCAATTTTGAGTCAATGTCACAACCACCAGATGGCATCAAAACCCAGTTTGAGCCTAGGATGGATGAAATCTGTAATTAACTTGAAAAATGTGTGCTGTCAGAATACGGTTAGGCAAGATTGATGAATATTCTAATTACTTACTTGGAAACCAATTCTCTACCTTTGTAGAAGAGACTATATGGACAAGGTGGGACCAGAAGCAGCTGAGGAGGAGTTAACTAAGAAATTTCCCCCAGCTTAGTTAACAGAGCCATAGGATGGCCCTGAAACTCTCATACACATAGTTGGAAGCTGACCAGATTCTCAGAAATAACAAATAACCTGTCTGTTACTTTTGCCAGCAGAACTCTCTCAGGGTCCACAAACATCAGAACATAATACTTTAAATATGACATGAGAGGAAACACACAACCAGAAATAAAGCAACTCTCACCCTCACACCCCGCTGGCACACACATCTTTGGATGCAGATGTATTTGTTGGCAATAAAACAAATCAAATAGAATTATAGAAGGTGAGGTAGAAATAGAGTCTACCTGGGAATCGTTGGTTGACACGTTGTACCAAATGATGGATGCCCAAGCATTAGGTAACTGACTGACATTGGAAATCATCACCACAGGCAATGAGCTGGTCTGGTTTGGGGGAAAAAAAGCATGACTCAGGAAATCTCAGAAAACAAACAAGAATCTGAGCAACAAATTATTTAATGTATATAGTTCATAATGCCCTTGAGCTTTTTGTTTTAATTAATTAATTAGTTAATTAATTAATTTATTGAGACTGGGTCTCACTCTGTCACCCAGGCTGGAGTGAAGTGGCATGATCATCATTCACTGAAGCCTCCACCTCCTGGACTCAATTGATCCTCCTGCCTCTCTGCCTTCTGAGTAGCTGGGACCACAGACACATGCCACCACACCCAGCAAATTTTTGTATTTTTAGCAGAGATGGGAGTTTCACCTTGTTGCCTAGGCTGGTCTTGAATTCCAGGGCTCAATCTACCTGCCTTAGCCTCCCAAAGTGCTGGGATTACAGGTGTGAACCACTGCACCCAGCTATGCACAAGCTTTTATCAATTACATGTAACCAGAATGTTATGTGAACTAGTGAACATTTGACATATTGATTTTCTAAATTAAAACAAAAGTAATGAATAGGGAATGTACTAAAACCTAGAAAATACCGAGCTTATATCTATAAATGCTGACCAATTCCTGCAAATATCATTAGTAAATAGCATATGTTCTTTAAACACCTACCTCCAAATCCATGGTCAGGCCATAGAGGCAGATCTGTGTTTCAAAGGTTATGGAATGAAGTTCTTCAGTCACCATGTGACATCCCTAAGGGAGAGAGAAAAAATTGTTACCTCCCAAATGCATATTCACTATCTAATAGAAGACTTCTTTCTATATAAATTAATACATTCATTAATAAATTAATAAAATAAATGCTCCCAGACAGTGTCTATTATAGAACATTCCCTCTTATTGTCTTAAAGGTTATATACAGAGTTTGGAAAATCTTCATTTTCCCAAACAGAATGATTTTAAGTCTTCAAAACAAGATAATTTCTGGCTTTAAAAATTGTAGCATAGTTCTTTTTTCAGTTGAAATTTAGACAAGTTGTTCTTTATTTTAATATTTGAAAATTGGTCCTTTTGATTTACCAAATGTTAATAAAAACAGTCCGTATATGCACAGGTATACAGATACAAGCCTTAAGTGTCACAATGAATTTGTTTAAAAAGAATGCAAGACCTCCTTCTGGTTTAACATGTAGGTGGAGTACATGTATTTTCCTCTGTTCCCTCTGTTCCCTCCCTACCTTACCTCCAATAAGGTAATAGCTGGACTTTTATTCATTTTCCAATAAAGTGAAACTGTAATCTAGATCCCTGAGTAAAAGGTTGAGGAGTGCAGAGTGAGGGTAGAACAAAGAGCCCAGAGGTTGAAAGCACTGAGTGCCCTGAGGCTGCAGACTGTAAACCAGGATGTGCTTTAAGACCCCCAGCTCAGGCAGTGAGGTCTCCAACCCTCCTGACCTGGGCAGAGGAGGGAGGTTTGCTCTTTGGGGCAGATGAGTCAGAGGAATTACAGAGGCTGTCTACATTCTGGGAACAAGGTCAAGATGCAGGCAGGGGCTAGGTGCTGTGTGTGCTGAAGAGAGGAAGGTCCTGTGAAAGTTTACGGTTGAGCCCATGCTTGTCCCTCCTCTGACATCTAGGGCCAGGCTTAAAATCTCCTGGAAATGTATCTGGGAAGTGGACCAGACCAAGGAATGTAACATACAGATACTGCCTTATACACCCACCACCGCCCCCCAGCGACCCATTGAAACAGCCAGATTCTAAAAATCACCCTAAGTCTACAGTTCCCAACATGCACGTAGAATATTCAGGCAGTTTTTTAGTGCCCTTCTCTTAATTATTAACAGCAAATTGATGATCATCAGGCTTTGACAAAGCCTCTCACATGAAATGAGGATGCAAAAACAAAAAACTCAGAGGACAAGTAAAAGAAAGAATATAAGAAAACAGTGAAGAAAGCCTCCTGTATTCAGCTCAGTCTATTCAATAAATATATGGCATGTTGAAGGAGCAAATCAACCATCTGCAATGGGAAGACAGTGCTTAGACACTGATTTGAACAAGCCAACTGTAAAAAGCCTCTTTTGAGGCAATGGAGGAATTTGAATACAAAATAGGATTTTTTTAAGGAAGGCTTTTTAAAAGTTGTTGTTTAGATTTTTGTGACAAGGGTATTGTGGTTAGATTTAAACATTTCTTATATTCTAAAGATACCTGTTGAAGTATCTATATTATACTATACTATCTGGAATTTAAGAACTCCAGAAAAAATGTATATATAGGGGGAAAACAGGTTAAATATGATAGGCAAAATATTAATCATTGTTGAAGTTAGGTGATGCATAAATCCATTCCATTGTATTTTCTCTTTACTTCTGTATATATTACGTCAAAACATTAAACACTTTAAATGTTTACATTTGTATATACTTGAAAATGTTCAAAACATTAAAACACTTTTTAAAAACTATATAAGACAAATATTAGATCAGTGAAAGAAGAATAGAATATTATAAGAAACATTCCCAAAATAATAAAGAACCATTTAAAATATAATAAGAACAATAGACAAGTCAGTAAAAAGATTGGACATAGAGTAGAGGAAATTTCCTAGAATGTAAAACAAACAAACAAACAAAAAACCCTCAAAGAAATAAAAAATGGAATACAAAAGACAGCAAATAAAGAATCAATACATGAACTGCAACAACAAACTAACACAAGTTCTGGAAAGAGAACAGAAAAAAGGGAGTAGAGGAAATACCAAAGACATAACCAAATTGAAACTCTTACACACTACTTATGGAATTGTTACAATCACTGTGGAGAACCATTCTTCAGTAACAAGAAAAGTAGAAGATGCACATTACCTATGTACAACAATTCTTTTTGACTCTTCTGATTCTGACTCATCTGCTACCAAATATATATGTCAAAGATTTTTTGCACTCATATTAAGAAAAAGACTTGTAGAAGAATGTTAATTGAAGAATGTTTATAGTAGAACTGTTTACAATGCTAAAATGATTCATCAATAGGAGAATAGCTAGATATACTGTGTACATTTATAGAGTAAGAAGCTATATAGCATTGGAATAAGTGATCCATAGCAACATGAATCAATGTAGGAATGAGTCTCAGAAAATATTTTGTTGAGCAAGAAAAGCAAGTTGCGATAACATATGTACATAAAGATGTCATTGATGTAAAACCTAAATTTATAATACAGAATAATAAAAAGTATGTAGAAACATAAAATTATAAAGGCATTCTTGAAAACAATAAACATCAAAATTCAAGACAATGGTTACCTCTGCATTGGGAGGTGGGTAGGTACAGAGAGGAAAAGGATTAAAGGGGGATACCAGGTGTCTTCAACTATATTTGCAAAGTTTGAATTTTTAAGCTGTTCGATGAATGTTCATTTTATTATTCTTTATGTTTTTACATGTTTTCAATAGTCTATAAAAATGAATAATACAACAAAACTTCGCAAACTGAAGGACACAAGTGTTCAAATTGGAAGGACCCATGAACATCTAGCACAATAAATAAATGAAAAGCCACACTAAAACTCATTGCTGTAAAATTACAGGAAAGCAGTTTAAAAGTTTCAGAAGTGCAGGAATAAAAAGGCATTTATAAATGATTAAGAATCAGAATACAAGATAAGTAGAAGACAATGGAATAGTATTTTAAGGATTAGGAGGAAAACAGATTTCTAATCCAGAATTCTATATCCAGCCAAACTATCAGTCAAGGACGAATGGAAAAAAAACTTTCTAAGATATGCAAAGCCTCATAGGGAAATCTGGCTCCCTAGTACTTTTTCTCTGGAAACTACTGAAAGAATCTCTTTAATAAAAAGGATACAGTAACCTAAGAAAGAGAAAGACATGAACCCAGCCGGGAGAAAGGGGTGGGACTCCCTAGAATAATGGTGAAAGGAAGTTTCAAAAACAAACAAACAAACAAAAAAACCACAACTCCACAATTGCACAACAGGATCAGAGGGCAAGTTGCCAGGACTGGAGCCAGAAGATGGAGAGCTCCCTAAGTGATGTTGCAAAGAAAAAAGGAACTCTTAGATTGACATGTCTGACCAAATTGTAAGGACTCTTCTAGTCCTGATGGAAAGTTTGGGTCTTAATTAGTGACAGGTACATAAATTAATCAAATAAAAACTCAGGGAGACTATTATATCCAAGGAAAACTAAAAGTAATAGAAGAATGGAAATATAATCCTAGAGTGCTATATGGCTCTATATTAACAATTTTTATGTAATCATAGTAAGGTAAACATTGAATACATTGAGTAAGTGAAAATATGTTATATAATGATATTGTGAAGATGGGGGAGCATTTCTATGTACGGAAAGCTGTTACAAAAAAGACATAGCTTAATCTTTTATAGAAAATCAAGAGTTAGACATATAAAATTTTTAAAAATCAAGAGATATCAGTATTAGCATGATATTTACAGCTCAAGAAATGATCACATCCTGGGAGGAGTCTGGGATGGAAAGAAGAAGGAAACTGCAGTTAGTCCCTGATAAAATTTTATAGTAGGTGAAAAAGGACCCAGCAGTATTGTCATCACCTAAAAGCTTGTAAGAAAAATAGGATCTCTGGCCTCATCCCAGGCCTACTGAATCAAATTCTGTATTTTAACAAGAATCCTGGTGGAATTTGGGAGGAATTATTCTCAATGTGTGTATCCTCATTATGTTTAATCTCAAAAGGGACATGGAAAACTTGGAGATATAAAACTTCAACAATGTATAAAATGAGCCCTGGGAACCTGTGAACAAATAGGATTATCTAAACCAGAAAAGTCAGGGTGGGGGGTTGGAGGTAGCAGTGTCACCTGAGAAGAAAAGGAGGCCAACACTAACTATGCATTAATAATAAGTCAGAATTCTGTTTGCATTTGAAATTTGAAATAATGAAAACTGTCTAGTATAATGATACAAATAACAATGATGTGATTATGTGAGAAGACTTCCCTGATAATGAGAATGCTATGTTTAGGATTTGTTATTGAGAAGGAAGTAATTCTTTGTAGTACCTTACATTGCCTGCAGGTCGTTCTATTGACTAGGGTGGAATCACTTCTTACTGGGTTAGTAGAAAGTTATGTTTAATAAAAATTTTGCTTAGCAATCCTTTAGACCACCCCTAAAAGTACTCCCAACACATCAACACATCAAACAGCCAGTTTCTCTTCTCCAGCCCATTTACATTAAAATAAGTTGCTCTTTCTTTGGTTGAGCATGAGATGAACTAGTTGTCTTGAGTGTAGGCACCAAGTTAGACAGAAGGTGTATTTTTAAACAATAGAAAATCTCACTGCCCTCTAGGGAGGCGGTGCTTACACTATGCCAAACATGAGACAACTGAAGAATCTACAACTTCCACTTCATGTTCACTAATGGGTGCCTTTTAGATTCTCTACGTGTTCAATGATGGAACTCACCATTGAACCATGGTGATACAAGCCTGCGCAGAACATTTGAGAGGGCTCTATAGTTTAATTTCTTTTTCTTTTTCTTTTTTTTTTTTGAGATGGAGTCTTCCTCTGTTGCTCAGGCTGAAGTGCAGTGGCATGATCTCAGCTCACTGCAACCTCTGCCTTCTGGGTTCAAGAGATTCTCCTGCCTTAGCCTCCTGAGTAGCTGGGACTATAGGCACACACCATCACGTCCAGCTAATTTTTGTATTTTTAGTAGACACGGGGTTTCACCATATTGGCC